TTTGTTTTTTGTTTTTTGAGACAGGGTCTCACTATGTAGTTGAGACTGCCCTGGAACTCACTGTGTAGCCCAGGCTGGTCTTGAACTCACAGCGATCCTCCTGCTTCAGCCTCACGAATGCTGGGATTACAGACGTGTGCCACCATGCCTGGCTCTTTCCTGGTCTTGAAAATTGAACCAGGGCCTCCATCCCAAGCAACATCCCTAGACAGCCTCTTTTTTTTATTTAGTGAGACAGTCTCACCAAGTTTCCCAGGCTGGGCTAAAACCTGTCATCCTCCTGCCTCAGCCTCCATGAGCACTGGGATTACAGGGATAAGCTGTTGTGCCCAGCTTCATTTTCATCTGGAAAAAATCTCCTCCCAAACCCAGTAAGGTCAACAGTCACTGAGCACACTGAATAATAAAGTACTGGTGGGTTGTCACTACACTGTGACTGGAAACACAGCCCCTTTTTTTCCATTTCAGCCCGTCTGCCATTCAAGCGCCTGAATGCTGTTCACAAGGAGAAAGCCGAGGATGAGTTAGGCGACAGAAGCTCTCTGAACATCACGGTAGAAGAGAAAGTCGCTGATACAGAAGCGTCTTTGGACATCCTGGAGAATGACTGTCCTGTGGATTCTGACCTAGACTTCAGACCAAAACTCATCAATGGGAAGGGTCCCTTGGATAACTTCATAAGAAGTGAAATCAGAAGCAGCCTCAGCCAGAGCATGGTCATCATCGATTTGACAGAGGACTCAAGTGACCAGCCAGAGAGTACTATGGACCATGAATCACTAAATCCCAAAACCTCCCTTCCTGAGGAGGCTGTCAATGGGCTCAGAGAGGAGGTGGGAGATGCGGAGGGGCCCTTGAAGGCCGTTCACACCGACAAGTTGGTGCTTCCTGAAGAGACCCTTTCAGACATTCCTTGCAAAACAGAGGAGGAGCATGCAGGCTCAGGTGACCCTGACAGGAGTGGTAGCTCCCAGGACAGCTCCCCGCAGAGCTGCCCCAAGCTGCCTGTTTGCCCGAGTGCGTGCCCCGAAAAGGAGCAGGATAGTTGGAGTGACACCAGGGGCCTCCTGTTTCGAGGGAAAGTCCCCGTGGTGGTCCTGCAGGACATCCTGGCCGTAAAGCCTCCCTGCACCAAGTCTCCTCCCTCGACACCTCTGGACAAGAGCGGGACATCAGAGAGTGAGTTGTTGGAATCATGTCCTGAAGAAGACTCTGTCCTTAGCCATTCGTCCCTGAGCTCCTCTCCTCTCACCTCCCCGGAGGGGCCGACTGCTCCCGAGAAGCCGCAGGGGGGCATCAGGCCCTCCCCGGCAGCCACACCTGTCCGCAGAGTGAGTATGTCCTTGGGAGACCAGCGCCGCTGTGACTGGTCTCACGGGGCTGCCGGCTCATGACCCAGTACTAGGAACCTCAGGCTCAATCTTGTGGATGTCAGAAACATACAGGCTTTGATTCCATGTGCACAGGGCTCTGGCTTTCTTAGGAGGGTGGTTTTGCTAGCCTTGGTGTTCATGTTTAAGCAGTAGTGGCTTCAGCTTAGCCGTTCTGGTGAATATGGGATGTGGGCAAGCCCTGTAACCCCTCACTTCATTTCTGAGCTTTGGGCTCCTGTGTCCCTTGCTCTTGTCCCAGCATAGATACATTGGGCTGGTGGTGGTAATGAGTCACCAGTGTCAGTGAAGTGACAGAAAGACACAAAAAGGGGTGTTCTGTGGCGACAGCTTTGGGCAATGTGGCCAGCCATTTGAGAAACCTCGCTTGCAAGACAGACGTGTTGGTGCATTCCAGTAATCCTAGCTCTCAGGCTGAGGCAAGAGGGTCACGAATCCTGCCCAGACTAGGCAATTCAGTGAGACCCTGACTCAGAATTTAAAAAGGAGTCAAGATGTAGCTTGGTGGTAGCATTTGCCTAACATGGGTGAGGCCCTGAGTTCAATCCCTAGTACTGCAAAAAACAAAGCAAAAAAAAAACCCCCCAACATGGGGGCAGACACCTGTGGTCTCAGCACTTCGGGCAGCTGAGGCAGGAGAATTACAAATGTGGACCCAACCTGAGCAAGTTAGTGACTTAGCAAGACCCTGCCTCAGAAATAAAAAGGGGTGAGGATGGAGCTCAGCACGAACGTCCTGGGTTCCACCCCTTGTGCTACAAAAAAGAAAGGTGTGTGTCTGTCACACTTTGAGCATTTCTTATCCAAAATTCTTGGGATCAGGGCCGGGGATATGGTTCAGTGGTTCTACCACCTGCCTCACAAGTGCAAGCACCCAAGTTTGATCCCCAGTACCAAAAAAAAAAAACAACAAAAAACCAACAACAACAAAACAAAATACTTGTGATCACAACTTTTATTTTGAATTATACATTTGGGAATAGCTGATATCTTGGGGGTGTTCAAACAGAATTCACCATGCTGTTGTCTCTTCTTTTTGGGGTGTGGAGCCCAGGGTCTTGCACGTGCCAGGCAAGTGCACTGCTGCTGCCACACCAGAGCCCTGCCTGGTACACCTTGCACACCTAACCTGAAGGTGATGTTAACCTCTGTCTTTAGTGCGGCCGTGTGTTGGCTCAGGTCTGTTACCTGAGGACCCGTGAGGGATTTTCCACTTGTGGCGTCATGTCGGTGCTCAAGACTCCAAATTGGGCTTCAGTTTTTTTGGTTTGGTTTGGTTTTTTTTTTTTTTTTT